AATGCATGGTAACCAGGTCCTGAAGAATGTGTATCCCTAGGGGAGTGATGAACTGCTCAAACCAATCCATTACAGGATAAAGGCCTGCAGTTCTCACCAAGTGAGAGGGTGACAAGCCTGTCTTAAGGAGCTCAGATTTGTGTGTTTTACTAGACAGTTACATTGTCTGACTGTGGATTAATAAAAAAGAGAAAAAGGAACAAAAAATATTTAGATCTCTTATACGCTTCATTGTTTCATGTTAAATTCAATTCTATATTTTATGTTTTTGCTTCCGATGTGCACAAGGGGAGCTCGTTGTTGCATTTGTGAGGAATGAAATAATTAGCAGTTGGATTAGTACCAACAAATGAATATCTTCGAGTCAAAGATTCTTTTTAAAAAAGACTCTTAAGAATTACTTTTAGTTTAGGTCTAATGATTTGGAACTATTCTCAGGATTGAGTGAAATAAGGTAGATTGATCCATACCTACATGTTGTTGAGAATCAAAGCAGTGGTATTTAACACACTAATGATTTATAGATCTCCCTTGGAAGTTAGTGCCAGTCTTTTTTATATCACTAAATGTTCTGCTTATTTAAACATATTTGAATATCACTATTTCTGTATTGATGGCAAAAACCCAGGGGAACCATCCTTGCTTTTTCAAATAGAGATTGTAGGATCACACTAGTATTCATTATTATCCTGCGTGACAAGATATATTGTATTTTTCTTGACAGGCATATCTTGGAGATCTCAGTCCCTGGTGTATATTTTTTTACGTTTTAGTCTTCGTACACATCTGGCGCTGGCAATCACTCGGCCTTGAATAGCTCAGAAGCTGGATTAATATCCCAGTCTGCATTTTAAAACAAGACTGGCAACTTCTTTTCTGAGCAGTGTGATCTGTTTTCTTCATTCAGGCACTCTATAAGGTTTTATAAGCAGATACTTTTCAACATGCCACAAATTAGGTTACCGAGCTGACATTGTACACATGGCCTATAATGTCTCTCTTGTCCTCACAGAACTAAGTGGTGATGAAATGCAGGTAAAGGTCAAATACTATCTCTTCATACACAGCCTTGAAATGGACACTATCCATTCACCGTCTATCAAAAGAAGCAGGATGTCTTTTAGAAAATATTTATAGCGTGACCCAAGACTGTTATAACAGAAATGAAATTGCATTTCCCAGTGCAATATACTAATTGAAGGCCTTTTCCTTGTCTCAACTAGTGTGAATTACAGTTGCACAAATGCAGAAAAGGCTATTTTCAGTCACAGCTGATGATAAGCTGGTATTTTGTCATCAGTGTTGAGGGAACATGGTTTGCCTATTGCTCTTGTAGACAGTGAGAAGCAGTGCCCTGTTTCCACCCCAACCTCATTTACCATGATTTTCTAATAGCCAGCTTGCTTTTTCATGGCACACTTTTTTTGTCTTTGAATTTAAACAGGAAGTTACCTCTCTGTTGTTCCTTAGGCCTTTATAATTAATGCAAGATCTTCAGAACTACGTAAGCTGTCACTAACAGGCAAGACATTTACTAACCACACAGATGGGATAGCAGTTTACAGAACACTATTTGAAATTATAATAACCCATAGTAAGGACTTTCTAAAAAGATGCACACCATAAATAATTATGGCTTCATAAGAAATTATTATTACCAATCAGTTCCTCAGAGGTAGAGTCTGTGCTGCATAGAAAAGTGACCTCTCTTTATTGATGCAAAGGAACAAGTAATAGGTTTATTCCATACTGAAAAGAGAAGAAAGAAAACAAAGTTTCGGCCGTGGAGCCTTCTTCAGGTGTGAGAAAGACAGGGCAGTAAGCAAAGGTAATGTAGCGGGAGAACAAAAGCTTGGAGAGAGGAGGAGCGAGGGGCGGGAGCAGGGGACAGAAAGAGAGGCCAATCGGGAGGTGTGAAGTCAGGATAGGTGAAGAGCATTGAAACCTGCAATGAATAGAGAAATTAGAAGAAAAGTAGTCTGTTGTTAAGAGAACGGGGAAGGTGTGATACTAGTTCAGGTGGGTAGCTGCATCAGCATGCGTAGGCTGCAAAGGAACAAGTAATAGGTTTATTCCATGCTGAAAAAAAGAAGAAAGAAAACACAACGTTTTGGCCATGGAGCCTTCTTCAGGTGTGAGGTGTAATGCTAGCTGACTTCACACCTCCTGATTGGCCTCTCTTTATTGATGTACATGTAGTAGACTGCTGCATTTTTTTTAGAAAATTTAGCATTATTATTTGTATGTAAAGAAAGTGGCTTTACAGCCATTCTATCACACACACAAGAAGCATAATTTTTATTTTTTATAGAGGAATTCAGTAATTATCTCTTTCTCCTTGGCAAAAGAAAAAAAAAGTGACACAATGAAAGGCAAATAATACTATACTACCAGTTTATTTGAAAGGTTTATTTCCTGTCTCCAGACCGTTGTATAATTATTCGTCTTGCTGCACAAACGATACCTATGAATTGAATAGTTCAAAACTTAATTTTAGGAATATATATAGGACTTGCTGTGGGTTTACAGCATATTACTCAATTCAGAATGTTTACTACTTCGCTTATCTCAGTCAGACATGTCACATTTCTCAGTGAAATGTATAGTAGTGGAACAAATAACAAAGTTCAAAGTGGCTAACTTTTGTTTTCTCGTATTTTTAATGCTTATAAATATATTGTACTTGTATTCTCACTAAAATCTAAAACTTTTTTTTCATTTGTATCTATATTTCAAGTTTTTCAATTATCACAAATTCTGCTGGTCCATTCTAGATTTGGATATCCATTATGCAAACAGAAGAGCGGTAAAAGCATCAAATGGATAGCAATAGCATTAAAAATAAACTTTGCAAATGTAGGAGGATTTGCTCTTTATGACATGCTTGCAGTGAGGTATTGGAAGCATACAGTATGAATTCAGTTTTGTCCCTGTTAGATCTCTGCCTTGATTCTGGCTTGTTATGCATTGAGTGAGAAACACAAGGGGGAGATGGTTCAATTGCTCTTAAAGGAAGATATACCTGTGAGTGATGAGTTATGGAAATTTAATATTTTGTTGACATTTGTATTTATATAACAGATATACTGTACCTAAATGAAAATGTAGTAATGTACCAGATTAGTGCATATATTTACACATTTACGACAAATGAATGTTAGTCACAGCACCTGTATTTTGAAAATGGCATGAAGGATGACACCCCCTGCTGCACAGTGTCCTCTTTCCACTATTCTGTGGCATTGGTTTGGAAATTCTGGTCCAGAGAGAGGAGTGTCACCTAGTGGTCCACAAATACCATTTATAGCAATGGATGTCTTCATTTTCTTACTTTTAATAGTTTTCTTTGGACTTCTTCCAGCTCTGAAGGCTAATAAATTCCATGTTGTATTGATAAAATGGTGTATCTGTCATTCTGCTAGTGGAGCTTTAGGTTTTTTATGTAACACAGCACATACTGTATGTCTAGAGGCCAATAGAATCCCAGCCTTTAAGCTCAGTGTTGACCAGGCCCAGCCATTAGGTGTGTGCTTATAAACAGATTAAGTGAATCCTCTCTCTCATAAGAAGTTTGTAGTGTCAGGAGAAGAATGCAGAACTTCCTTTTCTTTTGCATGGTGATAAACAGGTCTTGAATCCCCTAGGGACAGGAGAATAACACAGCATTTTCTGTACATCCCAGTTTATCTCCAATGCAAAGATCCAACAGAGAAGAAGGGCAGAAATGTTAATGTTGCTACTGCATCTGCAAGAAAAAGGTAGCAAGTGATTTTGTTTTTATCATCTCTGCAGATGAAAGTTGTTGTGGCTTTAACAAAGAGACTGGCTGCTGGCAAATGGTGTCAAAACACAGCAGAGCTTTAAGAATATGCAGTATGTGGTCCTGCTCTGAACCACTTGCTGACTGGGCCAGCAATGGAGCCCTGTAATGATGGATCGCACTGGAGAACTCCTAAATTATCAAGTGCAATTGCAGATAAGCTCTAGGTCATTCTTGTGTTCTTATGATGTAGTGATTAAAGTAGAGTTCAAATAAACTTCTTGCATTTCTACCCCAGCTGGTACAATATTATTACTAGCAGAACGGAAATTAAGCACCTCATTTATATATAGTACTACTGTACAATCATTTAGACACAAATATAATCAGCAATAATTTTGCCACGTAGCTTGAATGTTTTGTTGAAAGGAGTCCTGAACTGTTTCTCCAGAGTCCATGCATAGCAGGGAGCATTGAGCATGCATACTGTATCTAACTCCTCTTGTGAAGGAGAATGGGGACTTATTTCTTATGGGAAAACAGTATGAAGGGCTGTTCATTATTTAAAATATGGATACATGACAGCATTTTAACCACAGTGCTTCATTTTCACTGAGAGCATGTGATTCTCTAGGTATTATCATGAAGAATGTTATGCTTTTCCACACAGTTTTACAAATCTAATATATACTAAGAAGTATTGAAAATGCAAAAAATGAATATTGGACCATAGTGTTTGTTGCATATTTAATCTTTATCAGTGGATTTAAATTATTTAATCTTAGTATATTGTAAACAGAGCATTAAGTACTAATTAAGAGTGATATCTGTAGAAATTTAAAATATTGTAAATTAACTATTTCTATTTCTTTTTCATTTTTTAATTGCAGATTCTTAAATGGGATATAGGAGCATTCTTAGAGTTTATAAATTTGTTGTACCTATACTTAAGATTTAGTTGATAGTGCACTGATTCCATTATTTGATCTTGTCTGTTCTGCGTGGAGGTACTGTATACTGCACCACTTAAGCTGCTTACTAACCCATTTATGATAGCATCCATGTTGTTTCAATAAAATGCTGTGTCTATCAATCTGCTAGTGTAGCTTTAGGTCTTTAATGTAACACAGCACATACTGTATGTCTGAAGGCCAATTGTATCCCAGCCTTTAATGTAAATTAGTCAGTTGTGCCCCTTCCTGAAGCTTTCTTTAATCGTGTTACTGCTTCTTGGTTGCAGGTCCTTCAGCATCACCACGCAGTCCATGAAATCTCATACATTGCCAAGGACATCACAGATCACCGAGCCTTTGGTTATGTGTGTGGGAAGGAGGGAAACCACCGATTTGTGGCCATCAAGACAGCACAGTCAGTGAGTACAGTGGCCTGATGAGCAGACACACCGGATTAGAGCATTGCACAGTCATTCAATATAAAACTCTTAAATGTTAAGCTTCAGAACCTGTTTTCTTTAGATCTTTATCAGAAACTGGATACCATAGTTTTAGTATGTTTGCTTATCATTTTAATCAAACACATAAAACCCTTCAGATTAAGATCCACAGTGGTTTAAAATATATTGAGGGAAAAAAGAAATGCAACATTTTCTGGAGTGAGAATACTCTAGTTATAACTTATTGTCACGAGTGCCAGCCAGCAGAGTTCGACCCACAGATGAGCTAACCAGTTCCAGCAACGGACTAATCATAAAAAGTGTCACCACACTTGTTAAACCATCACCACCCGCTGTACTGTGCTGCACACAGCTCTATTTAAACCCTCTAAACTCGCTACTTGCTGCTCGGTATTGATTCCTCTACTAGAGAGCTCCTATCTCGCCTTTTGTTAAACATCTCTTGGTATACCTCATTCGGCTTTTTGAACTACCTTTGATCTTGACTACGGACTCACCTATTGATTTGGATTGGACACATGTTACAGCCCCTACATTCTCCTTCGTCTGCAAAGGATCCCCATACTTCATCACTTGGATTCATTACACTTATGTGCTTTCACAAAAAGGTATCAATTTGTTTTAAGCCCTCTGACCAGCAATACAGCTTGTGCAGTGAAGCATTGCAACTTGCCAATCACACAAAAGCTTGTTAGGTGCACTTTTACCCAATGAGGTCCAGGTGAAACAATGCCTGATCAAGTCACCTTTCAAATGGCCTTAATTCAAAGCTTAGGTCACTGCAAGAAAAAGTCCTCACTTTCAGCCAGTTTTCTGTGCATTCCATAATGCCTTGAATATCACCACAAGCAAGGGAGAGGACCACTGGCATGCTGCAGGCAGCCATGTCATGTGCCAGCGTTGCCAAACACTATGGAGTATGCTGCTCCACTGTGTCCCGACTGCAGAGAGGGTTTAGGCAGACCAACAGGACAGATCTAAGATCTGGTCAACCTCGAGTGACCACAATGGAGCAGGACTGACACATCAGACTCGTCCATCTGAGAGATTATTTCAGATCTGCCACTCGTACTGCTGCTGAAACTGCCCACATCAATGACAGGACAGTGAGGCTCCAAACTGCTGGCCTTAGAGCAAGACGACCTGTCAGAGGCCCTCTGCTCACAACTCCTAGACGTCACACCCAACTGGCTTGGGCCAGAGAGAGGCTGGGATGGACTCGTCAGCAGTGGCATCAGGTTCTCTTCACGGATGAGTCATTCTTCAGCCTGTTCCACGCAGACGAGAGGGCCAGAGTGTGGAGGAGAAGGTGTTGCGTTTCTCTTTTCCATCAGTATATTTAACTCCATAAAGGGTTGTGTAGTCGAAAAAGAAAAAGAAATTATTTGTATATTACTAAATTAATTCAAACCCAATATACTTTCTGTTTTCTTTTATTGTTTGCTCCGGTTCTCTGTTTTCTGTGATTTCACTCATTAATAAATTAATAATAATTAGGCGTCCATCCCTTTCAAACTCTGAGTCAAGCATGGAGCAGAATTGTATTGAGGGAGAATTTTTTTATGGGGAAATAAATAAAGATTGAGGTAAACTGATTCAATATATGTGCATTCAGTACAGATTCAATAACACCTGGGTTATAAATAAATTAAAACCACAACATCAACTGATATCAATCTGATGTGATTAAAGTACTAAGCATTTAGTAAATGCTTAATTCAAAGATTCAAAGATCCTTTAGGTATCTATACTGTAAATGAATCCGTTTTATAGCATCCATGATAAAACTATGTGGATGGACTATAGGAAGAAAACAAGTAGAATTAATTAATTTTATGGTGTTATTTTTTGTAGTAATGAGAAAGTCATGTAAGCACTGTCTCTTCAGAGTCCACGCATAGCAGGGAGCATTGAGCATGCATATCTAACTCCTCTTGTGAAGGAGGATGGGGACTAATTCATTATGGGAAAACAGTATGAAGGGCTGTTCATTATTATGGATACATGACAGCATTTTGACCACAGTGCTTCATTTCCACTGAGAACATATGGTTCTCTAGGTAAGAACACTGGCTGAATTTGTATGGGGCTTGTGAGTCATGTAATGTTGCTTCGGTTTTGTTTTGACATGAGCTTTAGGAAGTCTGACACAAGCCAAATAGATGTGCCCATGTGTTATTTGTAATGTCTGTACTGTTTGCTCTTGGTTTAAAGTTCATAATCATAATTTTTGCCAGTTATGCAAGTGTTGCATCTCGGTAGAGAGGTTTCATTTCCAACAACCTTTTCAGAAACATGGTAATTGGATTCATCATACCAGATTTAATATGCACATGAGAGTGTATGTTTTAACATGTAGTTAATATTGCAATGGTAAACATCATGACATTTGCAAGAAAATTAAACTTGACCAAAGGCATTGGAGGTTAAATAGGTTAAATGTTTTTCAAGTAATTGATGGATTATGACATGATGTTCACTGTGCCTCTTGAGGGTCTTAATCCACTCGTGATTCTAGAACAAATTGTTCAGTAAGGGTAATGCAATAGCCAAGGACAACTCTCGTAATGCGCTTACCCACAATAAGCTTGCAGAGATCCCCCTGTATGACTTTTTTGAAGATTGTCATAGTTGTGGCATTGTTGATTTTCTCTTAATTCATGATCTGTATGACAAGAATCAGAAGGTGTTGTGTTAACCCACCCTGATTTAAAAATGACTTTGGAGCTTTGTTGGTACAGCTCCAGACTCTTCTCTAATTTAATATTGTGAGATGGAATTCAGTATACTTTCAGTATAGTATTGTTGACAGAGCATTGAAAAAAAATCAAACTACTAATTCCAACAGGCATTGAATGCCTCCCTTTTCTTGATCTGATCTTCCCCCTTCCTTAGACATCCACAGGACTGGTTTGTAGCATGAAAACAGGAGGCACTTTTTTACCCAGATAGGGTGAAAATATGTAGGATAATCAAGCTGTTTTGCTGAAGCCTTTACCTTATTTTATTTTTAGATGCTCTTGGAAAAAGTTCCTCGGATCACTTTGCTGCTAACTACTACACATGCTACATGGGCCAAATGGCTCCTTCTCTTTTGTAACCATGATCTCATGTTCTTATGTTCAGCTGACACATAGGCATCTACAGACTCATCTGTAGTTAATGCACATACATAGAATTGTACTCCTGAATACCTTGGATTTGTACCTTCTATGCTATGCCAGTGGTAATAGCTATATCACCTTCCCTATGTTAGAGTCCTTTGAGCACCTATCCTAGGCTCATACCACAGACCATTTGGTTCAGAGGGGAATAGAAACTCTGTCATGTTTAAATGTTAAGAGATTTATGTTTTATAGGCTACTTTGTTTTGTTTTCATTCAGTGACAAAACAACAGCTATTTATTGTTTGTTACCTGTACATCTTTTCAGAAATGTCAGTGATTGTCCATTATTTCAGCCAAGCATAGATCTACAAATGCTCCAGGTGTGGAATGATGAACTTCAGGTTGAAAGGAGTGTATGCACTGTTTGTTTCACGAGTGAAGCCACACAGACTTGTTTTTGGAGGATAACAGTATGCATAAACAGCTCCCAAGTTAATCTCTTTTTACTATGAATTTTGTAAGTAAAAGATAAGTAAAAGAGTAAATTGATTAACTTCTGATCTGATCCCTTGGCTATTTTCATTCTAGTTTTGTTTGCTGGACTTTATTTGTTATAATCTAATGTTTGTTGTTTTCAGTTTTGAGATGTGGAAGTATACAGTATACAGAGATATATGACTTAGTCATCAGCCTCAGCATCCCTTTCATCCTCTAGGCTGAGCCTGTAATCCTTGATCTGCGAGATCTCTTTCAACTCATCTATGAGATAAAGCAGCGCGAAGAGATGGAGAAGAAGGCACAGAAGGATAAACAGTGTGAGCAGGCAGTTTACCAGGTAAACCTGAGTGTTTCCAATATTTATCGTGAGCAACATCTCCACTTTATTACAGAATAAGACTGGAAGAGTATTTTATTAAGAAATGATAGATTATGAATGTACATACTGTACAGTCAGTACAGACAGGTCAGCCATGATCTCTAGTGAATATAGTGAATATAAAACGAGAATTCGAAAGAAAGTGTTGACCTGGAAGAAGTTACAGCCAGATAAAAACACAGTGAGGTGACTCACATCTGTAAGGCGTTCTATCACCAGGAAATCATTTAGTTCAAGCTTACAGCATTGCAAACTCATTCTCACATACTGTAGATGCTCTAAGGATTCTGTAGAAACATATACAGAAGACATGTACTGCATTTACAATATCTGTTCTTCACTGTAAGCATTTTTTTTAAAGTGAACTGGAAACCGGTGTATATAAAAAATATTAAAAAGTATGACTAAAAATAAACTGTGGTTAAGTATGTTAACTTAAAAAATATATCTGAAATACAATTTCAAGACAAAGGCAGTAGTGGCAGTCTCTGCATAATTAAGCATGTCATTAAAGAGAGCTCATTGATCTCCTTTGCATTTATTGCTACTTATTTTGAGCCTGAACATATCTGCTAGCAGTTAGATCACACTGGGTGATAAGTTTCAGGCAGCTTTTACAATTAAATTACAAAAATCTGTCAAAGTGTGGCTTCTTGAGTGGGGAAAAAGCAATGAATATTTCTTCCAAGAATGAAATTTTAATAATCAGATGTTGAAAAATTTATTGTGCTCCTGTCGAGTTTGCTGATTTGCCTGCCTTTGAATCTTAATTTTTACTCCACCACTATCCTCCCTCCTCTTTTCTCTTTTCTGTTGGTCCAATCTTTGCTTCTGCTTCTTAAATGCTTTCAAAGACGATTTTGGAGGAAGATGTAGAAGACCCTGTGTACCAGGTACATTTTTATACAAATTATGAATATGATTTTTATTTCTGAGGTTATCTGATACAGACTCTTTGCTTTAAATTTATAGTAGAAAATTCCCTTGTTAGTAAAAGGCGTCACAAACTACAAACTCCACCCTTACATTTTTCTCTTTCAAAATTAATGTCATATTAATTCATCCCTCCTATACTTTTAATACATAGTGGATCATTGCAGTAATTGATTGTGTTTAACCATTTTAGTTTTTTTACCAGTGCAGTGTTACACAGTTTTTTTCTGGTTGATTTGAAGGTCTGGCCTGGTTTGATTGCACCTCTTTTTCCACTTGCTTCACTTAATACAATGCTCTGTAGCACTCACTGAATATAGACAGCTTTAACCCTTTACCCTTTTCAAAATGTTTGGAATATGGCAAATGACCCAAAATACCTTTAGCAAAATTTATTAACCGTTGTATAAGCTGAAAAAAGAATAACTATGCCCTGTGTAGTTGCATGCAGATAAAAAAAATATTAATATGGCCAGAAAATTCAGGGACTCCCTACATAACAGAGAAATACTTTCTAAATTTCAATTATATCTGTGTATGTTAGTGAACATAACTCACATACACAAGTACCAAACACAAAATAAAGTGTGTGAAGAAATTATGAAAATTGGTTCAGTGGTTCAGTGTTTTTTTAATCAGAATTGCAAACCATCAACGGGTTGAGCTGGGTTTGACTTAGCCAAAATTTCTCTTCCATGTGGGGCTGTAAAGATCATGAGAAAAGAGGATTTTGTCTGCTCTGTCTCCTTTCAGAAACAGCTGAATCAAGTCATTGTAGTTCACAGAGAAGGGCAGGAATGGCAGATTCTATTTGATTGTTTCTTGATTTTTCTTTACTTGAATTTACAAGTACCTACAATATAAGCATTATAGCTTATCATGTGCATTTCACAATTTGATTACAAAACATTCATCCCTACCAAAAACATCTCCAATTTTGTACAATGTTATCTGATAATAGTATTAACTGAATGAATTGCATAATTGCATAAATAGTGGCATTTGAGAAGGAATGCAGTTCTTTTAAAAAATATGTCCCATGACATTGCTGGTATGGATGAGAATAATCCCGAATCCCCAGTCAGTGCAGATCTGTTTCATTGTAAATGGGGCTGCTGGTCCAGATGATTGAGTGTAACTGCTTGGGCCATGCTTGTATTGATCTTGTTTACCAATCACTTTGTGCTTTCCCACTGTTTTTCTTTCTGCCTTCTCCCGTTGTGCTGCCGATGTTATAGTATATTGTGTTTGAGGCTGGACACGAGCCCATCCGTGAGCCCCAGTCAGAGGAGAACATTTATCAGGTACTAAAACCTCCCTTCTGAATCAATGCTGCCCTATCTGACAGCTGGAACTTCAAGGCAGGAGGCTTGTATTTTTAAAACTGAGCAAGAGGGACTCTATTTCTCACATGGTCTCAGGTAGCAGGAGACATCTAATCTCTTCACCAAATCCAACTCTCATAAAAATTTATTATCTCCATATTTGCAGCAAAATAATTAGGAACAGGTGTTTCTATCTAGTTTTGTCCAGATTAGGCTATATAGAAAATAGAAAATCATCTAGTGATCGGCCCATCTTTTACAAGTTGGTTCCAAACAAGTTCCAAACTGCATGAAATGATGTATGACACATTCACTGTTTGGTGGAAGTCAATATTCCATCTTCCATCCCGGTCATCTTCAGATATTTTTCAGTGATTATTTTTTTGTATTAGATACTTATTTTAATATGGCTTTTTTTTTTTTTACAAAAATAGCATCTTAGATTAACACAGAGCATAAGGCTTGATTTGATCCAAACTGCAAAATAAAACACTTAGACACACATTAAGCTTGATTGATACAACTGTGGATCCTAGACATTGATTTGATAGCACTCAGTTATTTATTCTCTACGAGCTACGTATTCTGCTGGTTTGGGACCTCCATAGCAGTAGCAATATTTACCAATTATTGTTAGGAATAATTTAGTGAAGGCATACAGCCTAGTTTAACATAGTAAGAATGATTGTTTTTAGTATTGGAGAGAGGACTGGAAAAAATATTTTTATTATTCAAAATCATTCTCTGCTTTCTTTTATATCACTGAAGGCCGGGTGAAGAAATTCACTTGATTCTTGCACCTAAAAAACTTACTTCAGAAATGTCTTGAGAAAATATGTTAAATTCTTTCAACTGTTCAAGCAAAGAGATTATAAATCTGGATTGCTAATGATTAGTGATGAAAAATTCAGAAACCAGTAATTGCCAAATGGAAACCATTATCTGTTGGTCTGCGTAAAAATCAGTCATTTGCTGCAACTACACTGTGCAGCATTTACAATTTCCCTTCTCAAAGGAATAAGCTGACCTTCGTGGTGTTCTAATTCTGCCACTGAGTAGCACTGTGCTTACCTCCTCTTTAGAAGATGAAAGCCAAAGGAAGGTTAATCACCAGCAATGCTTTTTGATCTTTAAATAAAAAATAAGCTGAATCATTTCAAAGCAGAAGCAGAAATAATTGTAACAAATATAAATAAGCTAGAAAAAGTGAAAATAATATTAATCACCAAAAATAAGCCTGAAACAACAACAAAACTAAGAAATTTGTTTCTGCTTTCGTAAATCTTAGAAATTCTGTAAAAAATTGCTTTTGCCTCCAAAGGTTCTTAGTACTAATGAAATTTCCTACATGAGAAAAAATTCTCACTATCATTCTAATTTAAAAATAAATGTGCTGTTTTTAAAATTATACTGATATATGGGAACAAATTAAAATATTGTGCTAAATATTTTGGCATTTTACTGAAATGAAAAAACTAGAACAGATTTGCAGAAAGAAGTTGCATTTATTTTTCAGCACATTTTGTAGTAATGTGTACTGTTAGGTTACAAACCAGATTTATACTGCAATTTTGTGATTTCATTCAGATAAAGGTTTGCTTAGACTTTAATTATATGTGAAGGATATCTTCAACTGAAATATGATTCTCATAAATTAGTGAGGCAGGCAAACATTTAATTTTTCCTGAAAAGTAGAGTTCCTCCTGAGTTGTCCTGTCTTTCTGGTAGTGGTGGTGATGGGGGTGTCTGAGTGCTGCTGTTTGCCTCCTGAAGGTTATAGGTATTTTTTTGCCTGAAGATAATTTTTTGTTTACTTATTTTTGGCTTGACTGACTGCCAATCTAGGTCCCTACAAGTCAGCAGAAGGAAGGTGTCTATGATGTTCCCAAACGGCATCCAGTGAGTGTAGGTGTTTGTGCTTTGTTCTTTGCTACCCTCAGGCAAACCTCTCAGTCACTCCAAATCACGTGAAGCCCACTGCGCAAAGGCAGTAGTTTTTTATTCTTTATTTCCTTCTATTTTTCTCCATATGGAATTCTGCTGCTGCCCCTTTTACTTCAGCTTTAGAATCCTATGTGATCTCTGGCAGAGCGCTATGCTTTTGTATGGAACATACAGTATGCTCTCTCAGGGTCACGGGCCTCAAGTGCTGTGTGTTCTACACTAACTGGAGGGATCTAGAAAATCCGTTGTGCCTCTCAGTAGGAATAGCAGAGGAGGCTGTAGCCGTTTTTTTAGTTTTTTTCCTTTGAATGATTTTATTCGTTGGAATGAAGGTTTTATTAAAAACATACCACAAAAGGAGTTTAAAATCTATAACATTCCAAGAATAGGACAATGGAGCCACATTTATGCATGTTGTGGAAGGACAAAAGTATGTCATAATATGTAATTTACCAATGGTTTAGAGCTTGCATGTAACCAAATCTAATAAAGGCAAGTAATCTGATAAAAAAAAAATAATTCTGGCAAACCCCCACCATTTAAACACTGCCTTTGTCCCCATACTAATTTCTTTAACTTCCACTTATTATAGTCAAATTGCTTCTACCTTTTTTGTTCTATTGTTCTGAATTGGATCTTAGGTATGTTGAGAGGTTTGTTTGCGGTTGTCTTTTGCTTTGTATTAGCTGCATGCAGTTTTATAATCTGCAACATTTTAGGTTAGGGGTTGCAAATGAGAAATTCTTTATAGCCTGTAGTAGATTAATAGTTCTTTAGTGCTTAGTAGTAACTTATTCTTACTTATTATTAATAATACCATAATAAGAAAACTCTGATAGTTATCCTGTAGAAATGTTAAATTAATTGACAAATTACAAATAACAGATTTTTAAATGTCTGTAAAACATGACATTTGCAACCCCTAAAATGAAAAGTTACTGAAATGCATGATTTGGAACTACTCATATGGATAGGAAATGTATTTTCATTAGAACTGCATAGTTCTTTTGAAGATTCTGCTTGGTAGATCAAGAATATGTATTTTGTTTCTTTAGAAGAGTGATCCTCTATTGATATTACATGAAGCTTATTAAATAAAAGGAAAGTCTATATTTAAAAAAGGAAACAATTGAAAATATATTTCTTTCCATCTGGGTAGAAGTATACAATCTAACCATTGACAAAGGATATAGTAAGTATTTATAAGAAATTAATTGAAAGGCAACATTTTAAAGCAGTGCTGTTTAAATGATTCAATGCCCTGTGTATAGCAAATGCCCAGTCTTCTTAACTGTTGCCAGTTGCAGAACAAACAATCAAACTTTAACTTGTTAAAACTTGCTATCTCATTTCAAATGGATGTAGAAAAGCTGACTTAGGTTCTTTTTCATTGGTATTATTGCTGGTCTGTTCATTCAGTCTGAGCTTATTGAGTGCTTATTGCTCCTTGTCCCTGTCATCCAATCACATTTACAGTAGGTTTATTTCCTTTGACACATTTCACCATCTTAGAATACGGTGCAAGCAAGCTCTTATCTGATGCCTTTGGATCTGTGCATTTATTGAAAATACGGTATTTGTGTCGCTAAAAGTAAAATGTTATTTGTAATTACTTTGCAATTGTTATAAGTACTGTCGATTGTGTGAGTAGGGTGAGCTTTTCATAATGTTATATAGAACAATTTCAATGAGCAAACACTATTTAGGGACTCCCTTTAACATAGCCCAGAAAGCTGGATAGATAGCCTTTTTGAACTCACAGTACTTATTTATGTGTGATATGATTCATTATGGCCTGTGTTTATAGTATGTTGATTTACATTCATGTAGGCCAAGCATTTCTATTTTAATTTGTTTTTGTTTCTTTAAAAATCAGACACATTATTGTGTCTATAGTTTCATGAAAAGCCACACAGTGTGCTTAACTCCAGTCCTAAATTACCAGTCCTAAAACCACAATTGTGATAGTCTATTTAGTTATTTGGAATTTTTTAGTACCAGTGAATCAAGCGTAAAATAGCTTTACCTGGATGGTTTCAGATTCAATATCCTTGATTAGTAAGTTTTATGAAACTGTTGTACCCTTTTTGTTTATATTATTTTAATCACATTATCAAAGAAGGCATATTAATACTTATACATAAAATCTGGAATGTATCTGTTCCAAACACAGAATAATTCTGGAATCCTATAAACTATTGTTAGAACTCAGCCAAGTGTTGACTTTAAAACACATTATTTTTATGGTGGCAAAGAAGAAGAAGCACAGCCACAAACTATCATGTATGTTTCATGGATGCTTCCAACTAACTTTACATAGAATATTAATTAATAACAAATTGGCACATTACAAATAGTCTTCAGGAGAATTAAGGAGAATGGTGCAGTCTTAAGAAGATATGGTAAAGGAATGGCTTCACTGCAAGACCCAAATTACAAAATGAGTTGATGTGTGCATTTGTACCAAGCATAGTATCTAGATAATAAGCACCTTGCTTTAGTAGAAATAAATGGCAAACAGATCAGGAAAGTATCCTTAGGGGGAAATAAAAAAATGACTTCTCATTTAATCACGTTTAAAAATGCACAGTTTATGTATTTATTCAGCATGTTATTTTCCAGTGGGGAACAATCTGCCAAATACTGTAGGTGAACTTTTGTAAAACTGAGTTCAAAAGCTTTCATTCTAACAACACTAATCATGGGCTTTACACTTTTCGGCTAACTTGCATACAATTCCTTACATAAGAAGGATCATCCTGGTTTTCTCTCTGCTACTGCCAATGAACATATAAAAAGTGGAATCTGAAATAGCCTAACTGCACTTCTCTGTGGCATATTAAGGAGAAAGACAATGTAATGCTTAACAATGTTGGGCCAGAGTTCACTTTTCATACAGTTTTTTATGTGGAATACGTTTTGTAAATTTGTAAGGTCCTTAAAGGTCCCTATTGCCCCCCAAATTAAAATGAACTAATACTACATAATATGATTTTACACACAAACATTATGAAGCAGAAGAAATCTGCTACAAACAGCCAACGTAAGTGTATGCTTTAGGCATCCCTGTTTTCTTATCTTAATCTTAGTACCATGTGCAAATGGCTCCACATTTTTTTCTTTCCAGATGGAATGCATTTGCATGATCAATCAGAAAATTGGAGATAAGGTATACAATGTTAATTATGTAGGCTACATTAACATATGCAAAATACACACACGTGATTAATTACACTTTTCCCCAGAGTACACAAATTGCAAGGTAGGCGTAGCAAGGCTGAACAGCTGTCCAGCGAGAGAGGAGGTACTGAGGCTGTCAGGAAACCAAGGTCATGGAGATACAGTATTCAGTTCAACTGAGAGAGATAGGGTGAACAGTCAGGAGGGTCAACACTTCTTATCAGTTAGTGGTATCAACCACTAACCTATCCTCCCAAAAGCAAAATAAAAACAAAACTCTAATAAGCTTTGCTGTAGCAGCAGTCAATTTGCAATAACATATTACCTTCAGGGCTAGATTACCATTATTCCAATTAAACTTGCACATACCAAAATACATAAAGCAGCAGTAGTTTAGGAGACTATACTATATATGCTATAGGTTAGACTATACTGACTCAACTTTGCATTATGTCAAACACAATAAACCCCTCAGAGTACCAGTACCAGCATTAAAGATGTATAAGTTCAGCAGTCCAGCTTTTCTGGAACACATTTTGTCCACCAAGAACTTGTAACCAGAAATACCCAGGGCATACTGTATGCTTATTTTATACTCGTGTCTTTTATTTTGTTATAAAGATTGTTGCAGTTCAAAATGGCTGGTGAAACAGGTCACTGTTACAAACAATAATGTAATTAAGGTGGTTCTAAATATCTTGATTTCTAATCAGGCAAAAATAAGTCTCAACTACCTGTATAAGCTTTTTTTTCTTTTTCATACTCTTTATATGTAGTGCTGTGATGTACTATTCTCTACTGGTGATCCCTCAACCCATTCTTGTAGTGAGTTATGACAGCACCATTTTCATTGCTTTTATTTTTTTATTAGAATTAATCCTTATCATCCTACAATGACATCACTTAATTGCACCCTTTCTGGTCATTTTCATGCCATGGTTACTGCTAACACTAGGGAATGAAGTTAAAATCAATATTTTAATTATTCTTGGATAAGTGGGAGTTGACTTATCTGACAGTGCTTGATTATAATGTTTGCATTTTTGCATTTTGCATGTATTCTGTTCTGTGTGTGAAACACATTTATGTATCTTTGCCAGTGGTACTGATTGGTAGGCGGGCATAATTAATTCCTTTTTAATTGTTGCTTTTATTCCTACCATCAATTACCAACAGTCACAGCTTCCTGTCAGGAAATGAAAAGAAAAGCCCTGACAGCCTGAGGTTTGGAATGAAAACAAGACATAGACATTTAAAATAAAGAGATTCATGGCTTATCTTTATTTATCTTTTTTCTCTATCTATTCCTTATCCCCTCATGGAACAGATATTGAAGCTAGAACTAGAATTTTCTTTAGCAGGATATGTCTAATTGATATCTGATTGGTTGGAATAGTTATTCTGAAATCCCTGTCAGTACTGGCCTTTAATAAGTATGTTTATTCCCTGTGTTCTGAATTAGTTGCATTGCAACCTGTACTTCTCCTTACCTGTTCAATCACACAATATATAGTGTCCTGTGTATGTGATCATGAGGGAGTAGGATTTGAGAGTCACAGGTCAAAAAGATAATGTTTTTTCCATATTAATGAATATGAGAGCAGGTCACACATGGAGAATGTCTTTGACTGATCATCTTCATCTTCACTCATTCACCCAGTGTCTGTGGTCACTGCTGTCCCACTTTCTCATCCTATCACCCATTCAGTACCACTTTACCATTGCAGAATGGACAGACACTGGTGGAGATCGATGAGGACCTGTGCAAGGTCACCCAGGTAAGGTTTAGATAGTCTGAGAATGTAGGGAGACAGGTTGTTCACAATCAGTAGTGAAATTAGATCCAAATTGTATTAATGTCTAATCAGCACTCAGGATTGATAGATTTAACACAATCAGTATTAAGTACATTTATGGTTTTATTGAGTGCACAAAGTTACTACCTTTATTAAAGCATGTCAATACACTGTCATCTGCTGTGTAGCCTTTAGGACACTTGCTGCTTACTGGTACGGTGTCCTTTGCTAGCTATGTCCATGTGTAAACATAAATGTTGCTATGGAATATGTAGTAATTCCATATAATCATGGAGACCTTGGAGTAGTGATTCATAAGTCAAGAATAATTTATCAACAATGGAATAAACCATTATGTCATGGATATTAGTTCCAAGAAACTGAATAAGCTGGTAATGCAGTTGGCACCGAAGCAGTGCCTCATTGGCGGCTTGTAAACAAGTAATAGAAATGCCACATGTAACTACACCATGTTTTTTATCCCATCACAAAGCCCTAATGGTTGAACTTCTTTTAAACGTGGAATTCCTCTTTAAAACAGAATATGAAAAGGGATACTATCCTGACTTAAATTTAATGTAAAACAGATATCAGCAGTAAATATTGATCCATATATTGCAGCAATTCACTCTGAATAATAACTCTTCAAAGGTAAAAATAAAAGTGTATGGTCCACTTTATGTAGCACAAATTTACATATGGTAATTCATACAATTAATCCATTTAAAAAATACAGTACAGCTTTGGAAAATGTGTAATGTAGTGTGAAGATGGTCTTTAAAATAACTAGTTAATGGAATATTAGCACTTTATCAATATAGTCAAATAGTGTACTGCTTGTACTATTATGTAGTTGAAAATATAGAAATAAACATCCTGCTAAAAGTTTGCTTATTATTGAAACCCTGATCAGTAAAAACAAATCTGCACAATCCAAAATCCAAATGTGGCCAGCATACTAATTTCTAACAGACATTACGAATGCATTTGAATGTTTTATTAGCCCTTTATTTTAAAAGGCTGGGTTTGAAGCAGCACTAGATGAGAATAGACTGTTCATCCTACAGTTTTAGATCTGTTTTCTGATAATAAAATAATAGGACTACATAGTACATTAATATAAAAAGTTTGCAATGATATGCAATTGACTCAAATATTTTAAGAATTGCACCGACATCCAAAATGTGTCTTATGATTTATGCAAATCCTTTATCTGATACAGAGTACTGTACAAGACTGGGAATATAAGGTGGTATAAATAGAATGAACCCTCTCCATATTTCCTTCCTGGAGGAATATTAAATGAAGTGACAAATGAATTCTCTACCTGCTTAAGGGAAACATCAGATTAGAAAAAATAATGCATTTATGTGTGGTTCTCACTCAAGTTAGGGAGTCTATAATTCTCACCTGCTTCAAGCTATGGCTAGTTCCGGGTGAGTATCTTGCAATCCATTAGTGTCATGTTTCATTCACATGTTGTTGTTCATATTCTAACAAGATATTTTATCAAATTCACATTCATGGAATGAGCCTCCACATCTCACTAATTCTACCTAACGTTGCTAGATTTTTTAGAACTGTTCGTGACAAAGGTGCGTATGACATGAATTCCAGTGAGGATTTGTTTCTAAAGAAATTGGAGCCTTAGCTTTCCTCTGCTTTTCTAAAATGCATTTTGAAATCTGTAATTCCAGAATATTAATCAACTGGAACTGTTTGGAGACATGTCGACCCCTCCTGATATCACATCTCCATCCGTGAGTGTCCCGCCGACTTCCACACCATGTGCTTTTTTTTCAGATTTTGTTAAGGAACCTTTGCTTTATGACCACGAGTATACGAATAACCCGTTCAATATAAAAAAAAAACTATGAAACAAAACTAAAAGAATGGAAAATTTTTGTGAAAATTTTACTTTTAATTCTTTTTTTAAAGAAGCATTACCTGGAACTATTTTTTATAATTTGCACTTTGAAGACAGTCACATGGGAAGGAAGGAAAGAAAACTGCTTCTTTAACCTGCTGTTTGTTCCGTCAGACACCTGCATCTCCAGCCAACACGCTCGACCCTGGAGTGTCTCATCAACCCACATCGGAGATGTTCGCCCCTTTCAACCCTGCATCAGTGCCCTCAGGTAAAGGAGAGTTTCTCTCACAGGCATCAACCCATCAACCAGTGCTCTGAGATTCACCTACTCCATTCAGCTCCCATAAGGTCCTGATATCATGTTATCTTAGAGCTACTGTAGCATAGTACATTCTCATTCACTAGGAATAACAACAACCAAGAATTAAGTGTACTGAAATGTTTATTGAGTGTTTTAATCATAGCAACTTGGCTTACCCTGCTTGGCTGAGGGCCAGTCTCCATAGGACAAGGAGGCTGGGATCCCCATGCAGAGTGATCACAGGGGGAACTGCAAAGGTAGAGATGGGGTGGAGAAGGGATGAAAAAGTCAAATGCGAGAGAGTGAAGGGGCTTACATATAGAATTACATATAGTATTTGTATTTTTTTTAATGTGAGGAAAAGATGCCAGGAATTATATGATTACTATTTAGGACAGATGAGGCTAATTGAGCTTGGCTGTTGTCATATCTCCCAAACTTTTATTTTGAACTCCTTTTACTCTAAGTACACTTAAAAATTGCAATAGAAAACTATTGGAGCATGTATTTCATAATGTTACTCTTATATTGTTTTTTATGGGATTCAAAATGAATGTCTGGGAGAAAAATGAATCTCAGCTACTTGCAGTCACCTGCTGCAGTATAGAAATCCGGACTACCTTACCGATGTTCTTTGCTCATGTATACCTCCACAAATGTCATTGCTACCACCTGCAACCCTTTGGCTCATGTGATAGCCAAGGTCTCCAACGACTTCAGCCACTTGACCAAGTCATTGTTTCTTAAGCCAAACATTTTAAATCCAGATCATGTCTTTAAACATTAATTACTTTAGCCTAGACCTAGACAAAACAAAAGGGTTTGTGTACATCTCCTGAAATATGGTTTATTATGACTTTTCACTTGTTGTCATAATTTGTCACAGTTGTCATAATTTAATCTTGGTAACACTTTGAATTCCTCAGTTTAATTACTATGTTAAAAAATTAAATACTTAATTTTAAATTGAATTTCACAAAATGAGTTTTCTTTGAATCAAATAAAAATAAGTAATTCACCACTTTTGAAAAATAAATTTAAATGAATGGATTAATTAGATAATATCAATTTTTATTCAATATATAATGACTAGGATATTAGGCAATGCTGTATTTCCTAAGCTCTAAAAGATCTTGCGCATTCTTTTTTGTAATGGTAGAGGATGCAGGTCACCTTTGAAATAAATCATTCACAGTCTTTTTAAACTATGAGACTATGAAACAGCTATGAAATTGTGAGCATGTAATTAAACATGTCTCAAGTCAATGGAAGCGACAGTCCAACAGGCATAATAAGTTATTAGAAATACCACAAAGATATGAACTGTGTCTCACAGATATGACAGTGTTAGCAATAAAATCAATATCAATCTTCGGATTGAATTCTCTCACAGTATACAGTAACACAGTAAAGCATTAGGACCTCTGTGATTAACTTTCCTTATATTGCCCCTTGAGGTTATGAAATATACCCTTGGCTGAGCAGAAAAGAGATTCAATCAGTCTTCATAAGACCCTACAGTACATTGTGGTACAGTACCTACCTGGAGAAGATTGGTTTTCCTCAGTGCTGTTTGCAGTCATTAGTTAATCATTTTCATGCTGCTCAGATATTGTGTCTAAAATGGGACCTCTTGGAAAGCTTTGCACAGTCTCATACAAAAAAGGAAAAAACATATTCATGTTACACTGTACTCCAGTACTTGACATTTCAGTGAGTATTCATAACATACAATGTTGAAGTGACAAGTACAGTTGAATAATGACTGACAAAGATTAGACAACTTTGGGTGAATTTTATAGTTGTACTGGCCCTGGGTTGAAACATACTGTATGTCAATGGAGATACAAAATAGAAGAGCTGTTGGCTCTGTAATAAAATATTTGTTAATCCTTCTTCATTTTTTAATTACAATTAATTATTACGATAATAGAGTGATAGATTAACAATACATTTACTCACAATTACACAATTAAATCTGTTTAATAAAATATTTATCTTAATAAACTCAGATTACTGGATAAATAGTCAGTGATCTTGCAAAAGTTTGGCTCTGATGATTTTGGATGCTGTCTGTATACTCTAAACATACATGCATATTCAGTTCCTCTATAATTGCTGATACAGCTGGGACATCTGGCTGTGACAGATTGAATAGTGGTATAAATGTAAACAATATTTCATTGAAATTCATCATAGTACTTACAAACAATTCTGTAAGTACTTTGATGAATTCTGTATACTTATACAATTGTTAGTAAACCTGGACTTATAAATGTTTGCTCAGCAACGGCGTACCTGACCAAACAAATGTTTTATAGCCTATTTTAGATAATGTGATTATCTTTAATATATTCAAAGTAGCTTACTATTGAATTTTGGGACTTCATTTAACTTAGTTGTGAATAATTTTTCTTCTGCCTTGGCAGTCAAATTTACAGCAGCCACATTAAGTAAAGGGATTTAATTTGCACAGTTTTTAGTGCTTATTGTGGCAGAATGTAAGAAAATCAGGCTTGTTTCTTATTTTAGTGTACATCTTTGCCATTTCAACACCCTCAGACACCCTCAGACAGATTTCAATTTCACAAACTAGAGGCTTATTGCAAAGGTATTCTTTCAAAGACACTCTCCATTTAAATACACAACCTCTTTATGGATTTACTTTTAACATTTTTGGAAGCAACAAAACCTGCATCAGTCTTACTTTTATCTTTCAGTGAATTCCTAAATTAAAAATACAAACCATGACCCATTGTTTTCCTAAACAAACTTTAGGATAAATTACTATATAATGCAGAGTAAAAACTCATTCTTCACACAAGCCCACTTCCCCATCAGGATTCTGCCTGAAGAACTCTAAAATACATACTCTAATACGATGTGATGGTGTTCTTAGTTTTAGAATGTTTATTCTAACTCGAGAAGGTGCAAGTGTTTCAATATAAGATACATAAGTATTTGTACTCCGGTTGGAAAACCAAAAAAATCCATAGTGGTTTTAAGAATACTTCTTGTGAATCACTCGCTGTTGGTTAATGTGTGTCACTGGTTACTCAATGTATTTTCCCCCTTTGTGAACTGTTGCTGCTTCTAGTCAGCACCTCTATTATGCCTGCTGCAACAGGATTGGTGAAGACTGCTTCAGTGGTCTGTGTAACACTGTGTAAGGCTAGCTTGGCCAGGTGTTCTGTGGAGCTCACTTCTTGCCCTTGGCTGTACTTTCCAGGTTATGTCACAATGGGAGCTGTCCAGCCTGCCCACTGGGGACAGCAGCCGTTTGCCGCCCAGCAGCCCCTGGCGTTTGGCATACAGCCTCCCATGCCCGTCGCTCAGGTCATCCCAGGAGCCCAGCCAATGATTTGGGGTCAAGCCAACCTTTTTCCTGCCACTCAGCAGCAATGGGCTGCCATGGCAGGGGCATTTCCACCCACTGCCTTCATGCCGACGCAAACTGTTTCCCCCCTGCCGGCTGCTATGTTCCAGGGCATAGCAGCGGCACCTGTGGCTGCCGTGCCACCTACCTGCGAAGCCCCCACAGTGTCCAGCCCTCAGCAGGGAGATCCGTCCCGACAGAAGATGAGCAAAGAGATGTTCAAAGATTTCCAGATGGCCAAACCACCCGCTGTACCATCTCGAAAAAGCGAGCAGCCAGTGTTGGCCTGCACCTCGGAGGCCTTCACCACTTACTTCAACCGTGTGGGAGTGGCTCAAGACAACGATGACTGCGATGACTTTGACATATCACAAATGAACCTGACTCCTGTGACTTCTACTACTCCTTCCACCAACTCACGTGAGTTCTTATCCTACAGATTCTAAATCCAGACAATAGATAGACCCCAGTGGCTATATTATTATTATTATTATTATTATTATTATTATTATTATTATTATTAAGAAAGATAGTTAATGCAAATTTACTAAAAATAAGTACCTCGTGCTCGTTTACTTGCAAAATAAATCTCTAGTGTTCATAAAGCCTGAAATGGTTAATTCTGCTGTGCAGTTTTTCGTTTCAGCTCTATTGTACGGTTTTTGTTGTTTTTTTCTTGTTTTTAGTGTCCAGCTTCAGCAAGCAATCTTTAAGTATACCAATATAATAACTTATGTCACAGATTTATTTTCTTCTTGCAAACAAAAGGCATTTATTTCCAAAGTCACATGGAAAGATGCTCCTCTTAGTTGAATTAGTTATCATCTTCATCTCTGTGTTAGATTGTTATCTTTGAAAAAGCAGGGTTACTGTGGGCTCTATGGCTTCCTCAAAGACACATTGTAAAATGTCCATTAGACTAAAGTCTAAAGCTTTTGAATCCAAAATCTCATACCTGATTTATATAATACATAAGCAATACTGTACATTGCAAAACAAGCATGCCATTTTCACTTAGAAAGGATATGGAAAACTGGAAGACATCATCAGTACCTTAATTAGTACCTTGCATTTTCTTTATGTTTTCCAGCTTATTTTTCTGTTCTTTCATCCCCTTCTTTTTCTTTTGATGTCTTCATCTTTTAGTTTTCATTTTTTTGCATTGTCCTAGAAACATGTTTGTACCGGTTATTTTGTTCTTTTTTATTCGGCTCATCTGATTAAGTTTCTGTACTGTATGTCTTGAACTACAGTATATCACTACAAACCCTTACACTCCATGCTTTCCGAGAGACAGGTGCTGGGCTCTGTGGGTCCACCATACAGACACCACATTGTGCTTATAGTCCCCCTGGAACAAGAACAGATTGTAGTGTTGAGCTGTGAAATTAGAATCCATTTTATCAGAAAAATAACTAAAGGCAATAGCTGACATTTAGAAGAGCAGAAGAATATTTTGTCTTCCCCTGTGAGCTATTTATGATTGTTTAATTATCTATGATACTGAGAGACTGAAGCAATGATGGCCCATTTAATTTTACAAACCTGTATTGTATGAATTATTAGTAAGAAAAGTGATACAATGTCAGGATGCACATTCTGTGCAAATTAAAATAATCAGAGGTGAGAACTTTGCAGTTATAGTGTAATTCTTCACTTTTGCTCAAGAGGTTTTGGGCTATAGCATGTTTAACAGGGTGAAATATATTAATCTTGGATTTTTTTTTGGCTATGGTCTTAAAGTTTTCCTATGAGTGGATTCCACTTACTTCTGATCATCTCCTAAAATATAACAGTGAATATTTTTGAATATATGTTAAATTGTTTCAGGTAAAAAAACTAAAGCAACTATAGCCCCGCAATGATATTCTACAGCACTGCAATCCACCAGGTTAGGCAGCAAAATAAAAGAGCAGGAGTTTTAACAAGAACACTGGAGACGGAATGGGCATGAGCTGTAAGAAGATTCAACAAGGCATTACCCAAAGTGCAGCTGTCTGAAAGGATGACAGAGTTTGAGAAAACAGCACGATTACATTTAGTGCCTCCCAGAGAGAGCTTATGTTACATCCTTCTGTGTTTTGCCTATAATTGTCAGAGAAAGTGTTCCACAGTTTGTGCTAAGTGAATGTGAAAGGTTTTAGTACCATGTACAAGTGCAAGTATCTTGAGAACATGGCATTTAGGTTCTGTGCATACCCTGGCCTTTAAAGTTTCCTCTTTATTCTCTTAGTTTTTGTCAATATACATAGGTACATTTAACACAGTCTACACTCACTACATATACTCACTACAAGTTAAAATGCATTTTCTATATCAATATATAAATAATGTTCTTAATGTCTGAATATATTATATATAAATCTATATAGATATGTACTGTATGTAGATACAGTATTCAGTACTGAAGCCTTTGCAGTGACTCTGTTCAACAAACATTAAACTGAAAAGATTGACTGAAAAAATTATTGACAGCTTGTTTACGTCTATAATGCAATTTCGCAAGTTTTTGGCTTGTCTAGTCTCCATGCACTTTTAGTTTGTTATTGACAAAAAATTGACTCTGACTTATTGAACATACATAGCATGGTAAAAATCCAAGGTGCTACACACAGATGCTTTAAAAATTTTGGATCCACATCTGAGTATTGTTCTACATTACTGACAAGAAAAGTCAAAATGTGGAGAACAACAAATTCATTAGATTACATTTTAACACAAGGATCTGAATTTCCTGTGTTAGAGACTTCAGTGTGTGTGTCTTGTGTCTGTGCCTGTATTCGCACACTGCAGCGGCTGTCTTTGTCAGGGTATTTGCTCTGTGTCTTTATGCAGCTCCAACTCCAGCCCCCCGACAGAGCTCTCCATCCAAGTCCTCCACCTCGCATGCCAGTGACCCGGCCACAGACGATTCATTCGGTGACGCAGAAGGCAGTCCCAGCCGGAGTGGGGAAGAAGATGCTGTGAGTATCACCAATGCCTGTGGAAAAATAATCTGCAGGGAACAGGTGGTCTCCTTTTTTGGATTACAGCATATATAATAAGTGCAAGACAAAATGGATTCATGGAAAGCTATGCAATAGTTTGATTCCCTACATTGAATTCTGTTCAGTGTTTTATTGCAGAATTAAAACAATGTTTTTACCAGTATTACAGAAAGATGTATAGTAATAACAATGATACAGTGAAATAGAGTGTGGTACAGTATGTTCATTGATGGCTTTTAAATAGAATCTTCTGTCAGCACACCCAACTATACCAAATCACCTGAGAATTAGCTGTGGACAACAGCAAAAATTAGTAAAAATCCATAGTGTCTTCAGTCCTTTCATATGTATACTGTACCTTTAAATTTCTTTTAAACAGTCTCCTACCTGAAATGATGTCTTAGAACTTTTAATGCCAGCACTAGTTCACCATATAAGACATGTACAGTATTCCCATAGAAATGTCTTACAAAATAGGCTCAAACTAGCCACCTATCATTTATCATTAATTTTAACCGTCTGTCTGCAATTGTGTGAATGACATGTTTAAATTCCCTGACCATTCCACAGAGTAAACCTGCAAGACCTTCCCTCATTTTGTAGCTATTAAAAAAGCTGTGGGCTTATTAATATCCATATGGAGTACATACCTGTATATACCACATTATATATACGGTTAATAATAAATTCTGAAGTCACAATGTACAAGCCACATAAGTAATTTACATTTCATTTGTCATGTAGCATATCTCCTATGGTTGGTTGTAAATAGCAAAAGTGACCAATTCGTCACAGGCTGATTAATTCATGGTGTACATGATCATCCTGCAGGAAAGGGAACATGATGGGACTTCTTGGGAAATAATCGGGAAAGTTTTTAAAGTGTGCAGTGAGATGTGCTCCATCTTTCTATCTGTGATGTCAGGGTTAATAAAGAGCTCATCACTTGGATCATGAAAGAACAAATACAAATGAATGAAGATTAGATGTGGTAGTAATTTTTATTTCACATGCTTTCATGTTCTGTCTCAGCAGTGCAGTCCTTGCTATATATCTGTGTGGTCACCTTTATCTGATCCAGTATCCACATTTGTTGAAAATCTAAAAGAAAATATTTAATAACTTTACATATTACATTACATTTACATCAGCATTACTTAACATTACATATACAACTTAACTTTTCCGCATTGGGATTGAAATCTAAAACAATTGTATCATGTTATTCTATTAATTATGTAAATACAACACACAAGATTATAAAAATAAACATTTCAAATCCTGATATGGGACAAATGAATTGCATAATGTTATCTCCTATTCGATGGAAACACCACAAACAAAAACACACACGCATTTACTGGTTACAAAACAGCATTACCTGGTTATAAAACACTTCCATTTAATGTAAATCCTACACATTAATAACTATGATATGAACATGGCAACAACTCCTATCTTCAAATTTCATGTATTATAAATTAAACAAAAAATGTGTTTTAAAAACATGCAGAGTTTTGTTTTCAATAATAATCCAGCCACAATTTTTGCCAATTATTAAAAGTATGAGACAAATTACCCAAATTCATTTTTTTTTGCATGGAATGAAACCTTAATTTGAAGCACAAGATGGAAAATACCATTTGTTACTGGCCTAGAAAAAGTGCTGCCAGAAGTCAAAGAAGTGCTACCAGACACCTTTCAGGAAACGAATAAATATGAAGAAAATCTAGGAAAGAGGTAGTCAATTAAGGGCAGTTAAATAGACAAATGCCTAGACACTTAACGTGGTCATGATATAGATATCAATTCAAGGGAATAGATAAGTTTCCCATTATATAGCACTATGAATCATTGTCCGTTTTACTGGTTTCTTGCTGTTGTACAAATACTAATGAAGTGTAGAAAATTAAGCTTTTTGCATTACTTTAATGTGATAGACGTTTTCTATAAACAGGGTCATTAGTTTGAAATATTTTAGGCTTATTGCTGGCTTATTTCCTGTCCATAGCAGTAACAAACTTGCAGAGCAGTGCATTGAACTTCAGAACCCTGTTGAGCTGTTTATTTCATTTTAGAGTTGAACCAAGTTGTTTTGTGTGTGTGTCTGGGGGAGTTAATACTGCAGTCAGGTGATGTTAGCTACTTACCATCTGTCTCGGAATCTGAAAGAGACCAGAATATGGAAATTGTAAATATGGGCTTTAAACATGAATTGAAGACATTACAAATTCAGTGATTTGTACCCCCTGGTTGTGAAACTGAAGTGGCCAAGCAGAGCAAGAAGAGTGGGCTGAAAATTTAAATGGAAAGGCTAGTTTTATGTATGATGCATACTAGGCATGGCATGTCAGAATTACTGGCACAGTGAAGGGTTAGATTTGCTTAGATTTTCCTCTGTTCTTCATGGCGATTGATCCTGTGTTTGACTGTTCCTTCAACTTTGTTCTTTCTTCCTTTCCTCTGCTCCTTTGTTCCTGCACTGTTTGCTTGTATGTTCTTTTCTACCTTCTTAGTTCTCTCTCCCTTGATTTCCAGGCCGGTGGGTCTCAGGCCTCCTCTGCCAGCGAGCCCCCCGCAGAGCCCCCTGTTGATAGCCCCAGTCCACAGGTCGGTAGCTAGATAGCGCAGGTCAGGGTAGGTATCTGTCCTTCTTTCCTGCTCTTGGTGTTGGCCTGCTCTGTGCTCACATCAGCTGACACCACACGCGCCCTGCCCCCCTTCATCACAACTCCACATTATGGCTGTGCGTCTCCATGTGTTTTATTGCTTTTCCTTTAGGTCATCCTGCTTTTCCTGCACATTACTCCTGCCTGCATTGGCAGCATGCTCTGTGATACAGTATATGTGATGTATATGATATGCATGTATGTGTGCATGCTAACACACTCCCACAGTGCATCTGGATGTTTTTATTTTTCAAGCTGCGACAAAACGTGAGTATCTTGACCATATTATTATATGACCTAATATGTGCACTTTCTTCTCAACCACAAATCTACTTCTTCTCTCCCAGTCATTCTTATCTCTCCAAGTAAGCTTCAGTAATCAATATATTAGTTCAAAAATATAATGTAAAAAATAAAAAATAATAATTTTCATTCTTATCTGTGTGATTGATACCGTTTCAAAAATATTCAGTGTAGTTAATCCAGAATAAAAGCAGATGTTGGTATAATACCTGATCAGATTTGAAGGGCTAGGTTTCAGTAGTTGAAGTTTTGTTTTCATGTCAATCTTCATCTCTTACTGAAAATATACTGGCAAACCCATGCATGGCGTTGTCAGTATAATCGGGAATTTACATGGCAATCTGTTCATATTCTGTAGCTTGTAGAATGATTTTGTAAAACTCAGTACATGTTAATTTTATGTAGAAAACAATCAATGTTTTTTATCAAAGCGTTATTTCTTATTGATCCATTATTTTGAACCTCAAATGCCTTTTGCAAGGTGAAGCCCATGCTAGCAAGTGCCTTCATTATATTCCTTATCTATCAAACCAAAATGGTGATTAGTTATAGACTAACTAATGATATGTTCTGGTGATGTTTGATTACTGTAACATTCATAACAAAAGAAAAAATATTAAATAATGGCATTTCCTTTGCTTAACTGTCAGTTTTTTTTAGATGAATTGCTTCAGAGAATGTATCTGTTTTTGCTATAAAATGTAATGGATCTCCAAAGTATTTTTTAAAAATGAAATGTATGATTGAACATTCATTCTGCTCCACAAGCTTCACCAGCATTTGCAAATTGGTGGTCAGTTAATGTTGTACTATCCAACTGATGGGGCACACAGAAAGTACAAAAGGCAGTCTTGAACTGTGAAAATATTTCATAAGGCTTCAGGTTGAAATCAAGTATAATTATGTTGACCCCTCTCTGTCTGTCTTTCATTGTATTGTTGCACTTTAAATCTCCAAGTCTTGTGTTTTTTTTTGCATATTTTGCAGTGTAGTTTGGTAAAAGCAGGATTCCTTGTTTTGTAGACCTTATGGAAGCTTGAAAAGATTCAAAAGTAGTCAACAACTAACTGCTTTTCAGTGTGTGTCTCTCTACAGTATATGGTGGAGACGGGTGGATTAAAAGCATAGAAGGACAGTGCTCTCAGTGTAAAACACAATGAGACAGCCGTTTCTTCCAGCTCTGTATTATACACAATGACGTGTGTTTGCGGTGTTGTCAGTGAACGTTTGTACTAAATGAAACCATTAAGTCCCCTTGGTCAAATACATGCAATAATGTATTGTTACAGTTCACTTATTGATCACATGCTGCTTTGTAATGCAGTATGAGCAGCCTGGATGATGCCCAGGAAAACAGATATTTTTATTTGATTTTGGGCATGAATATGTCTGAAGAATGGTGGCTCCCTGCCACCATCCCTCAGTTTTAATCCCCTCATTGTGCAGTCAGGCCAGCGCTGTAAACAAGAGGTTGTATTCCTCATGTTTCACTATCTTCAAAATGAATAATTTAAAGTGACTCAAGATGCTATCCTTTTTCTGGCTGTCACTATGAGTTCAGGCACTGGGCTGTTAAAGCACTTGGCACCTTCCTTCTGTTCCACATAAAGCTGTACAGTATACTGTACAACCCCCTCCCAAACATACACAGTTGCTGCAGTCTGCCCTCCTTCGTGAAATCCCATTTCAGCCTTCAGTGAGGGGAGCGAGGGCTGCCTCTCCTATCTTTCAGCCAGTGTATCTGAGAAGAATTTATGAGGCGGAGGCAAAACTGAAGGCCTTGTTCATCTGGATTAACTCAGGGTTTGAGTTTTCCTGAATTTAAGACCTCTTCACCTTAAAACTTTGGTTTTAGAAGGTTATTATTTAGAACATAGATTAATTTAATTTATCGTTATGTCAATTATCTGAGAGATTTCATCTGAGAATGATAATTTGTTTAATGTGTTTGTATAATGTGTTTTTACAGTGCTAAAGAAACAATGACTGCAAGTTTTTAATTAATTTTTTAAAATTTGTAATTTCTGAAATTTCTTACATATTTATTTAATTTAATTTCTGAATCATTTTCCATAGTTTCCAGAATATATATTACATCATATCCACCTTTAACTACAGTGTGCAAAAAGGTATGCATGATTAGGCAGTTCTCTCTCAAATAAAAACCATGTTGAATCTGCAGTAACAAAGCACTATACACACTACAGCCACCTCCACACACACATTTCCCTTCGTGCCTTCAAACATCGCAATACAGAGAAAGGAGGGAGCATATGAATGCTCTCAATAGTCAGTTTGACAACAATAGATTGAACTGCAACCCTAGTAACTGTGTGTGAAAGATATAAAGATGAGACATGATTATTACTGGCATCTTTATCATTTGCATTGGTATTGTAAGAGTTTGGCATATTTACTAATTTGGTTAGACTGAGAATTGTTTTGTTTTTATTTATGAGTTACTGACTGAGAAGAGAAGGGAAGGTGACCCGCATGGCTACAATGTGCAGACTCCATGGTTAACTGATTGAACTGTAGAACCAGCAGTGCCATCTAGTGCTTATGCTGGATACTGAAGTCCACAGTACATGCAGAAAGATTTCAAAATTAAATGGAAAAGCATAGTATGAAGTACATTCAAATGTGTTTTCGTCGCAGAATTATGACAGATTTAATTCATTTTCCTGATTTTTTTCTTGGTGGCTCGGAACACTCAGTACTTAGTACTTAGAACACTCAGTACTACAGTACAGTATGTGCTCAGGCACAAAGTGCCTTTAATAGTCTTTTATCTCTAAAATTTATTTGACAACAATACAATTTTCTTGCTTGTTAATTAGGTTTTTCACATTTACTGTTTTGGACATACTGTACATATAACCTTATATTCTAAATCTTTCTCATAGGGAGGGTGTAAACTGGGAAACAGATTTCAAAGAAGTTCAAGTAGGTAGCTGCATCAGCAGGCTGCAAAGAAACAAGTAAAGGTTTATTTCTTGTTGAAAAGAGAAGAAAATAAACAGAATGTTTCTGCTGTATAACCTTTCTCCACACACCTGAAGAAGGCTCCACAGCCGAAACGTTGTATTTCTTTCTTCTCTTTTCAGCATGGAATAAACCTTTACTTGTTCCTTTGCAGATTTCAAAGAAGACACGTATTGCTTAGTGTACTGTTGTGTGAGACTGGATTTAATCAAAAGTACAGACTAATATGAAGCATGGTTAAATCAAGAAAGCTGACTAAATGTCAAACCTAGAGAAACATTTTTAGCTACATTTTTATAATTTCTAATTTGATGCTTGGTAAAAAATGAACTATTTATAGAAACTAAGTATTTTCAACTTACAACAGTATTTTTCTGAAATTATTTTGTTCTCCTGTCATTAGCTTTATACTTTTTTTCTTGTAAGTAACAGAATTCGAAATTCTGTTCTGTCCTCCTTATCCTGTTTCTCTTCCTCTGACCCTCTAGAGGACAAAATACAGTTACTTGACAATGCTCTTTTATCTCCCCTTGACACCTTTGCTCCTTTAAAAACTCGAACCATCTCCTTCTCTCGCCCTGCCCCCTGGTACAATGACCATCTGCGATTCATGAAGGCAACCTCTCGCAAACTTGAGCGTAGGTGGGGTCTTTCCGGCTTAAATGTACATTATATGGCCTGGAGAGATTACTTATCTGATTATAAGGTTACTGTAGATTCTGCTAGATCCACCTACTTCTTTCACATCATTGAAAATCACCAAAACAA